CTCTCTCTCTCTCTCTCTCTCTCTCTCTCTCTCTCTCTCTCTCTCTCCATTGCATCAAGCTGCCAATGTATAGAACAGATAGTTGTAGATGTTTTGCACGTTGTTGCTGTGCACACTGATTAGAACATGTAGCGTGAGTTAACACAACATCCAAGAAGAAAAGCTCATTTAAGCATCCTCAGGGGATGCGGCTGGTCTTGAGCCCCCAGCAGCCAATGGGAGCTGCTCCGCGGGGGTCGCAGCTTTCTGCTAATAGATGTTAAACTGAGCCGCGGCCTTTCAGAGTCTCTGACCCCCCCTGGTTGTGACAAGACAAAGCGAGACCCCCCCTCTAAGGATTAGCTAAAGCCGCGGCTCGGTCACTGCCGCCGCCGCGAAGAAAGGAAGAGCTCTGTTAGCCGTGTGGCGGGTCGGAGGGAGGAGAGACGGGAACAGTTCAATATGAAAACACACACTGTAGTTTGTTTAGACTCAATCCCACATACTAATAATCACTACAGCACCAAATGTGGATTAATACGCGGACGCTTAAAAAACGCTCCTATAGAAAAGCATCAAAACAGGAAGTCGGTGGTAAAGAAGTAAAGCCCGCCTCTTGAAGGTTTTGATTGGCTTCCTCGGGTTAAGTGTGACATTGACGAGCGTTGTAGCGCCGTTACCTGCGAGCCACCGGCTCAGTCGTCGCCATGTTGAGAGCCGTGTGGAGGCAACACGTGTGCTCTGAACCTCGTATTCAACACCTTTAAGTAACAAAAAATGGTCAAACCTCGACTTTCCACACGTGAAGCTAACAGCGGCCTCCTTGGTGAAAGTCTCTTTTCGTACGTCACCTGACCAGGCTCATTGTTACAAAATGATTATGTGAGTTATATATATGAATTATAATGCATGACTTTTTGTAGGTAGGATCAGTGCATGAGAACAGTGTGCTGAGTGCTTCAGGCCGGTGAGGGAAGTCAAACTATTTGTGACCAACAGTGTGACGCATTTCTGGTTCCTTTCTGGTCCTCAGTTTGCAGAGTTTTTGGGTTCTTTTATTGACATTTATGGTGCAAGAACTCGTAGTTTATATCGTAGTTTAAATAT